TGCACTGATGTTCTAGGCTTCGAGCTAGAATCTAGTGTGACGCAGACACAAAGACACCATAACCCTACGGGCTGGTGTTGTGTTAAGGGCCGAGTCATGGCTTGGGCCTTATCAGGCGAGCCTAGGTATGAATTTTTCTTTTCATTCACAGGTTGAGGGGGCCAGCCTAATTGGGCTTCAGTTTCAGCCAACCGAACACCCCAACATCGCTGTGTGTGGTAATCGGGGACGAAGGTTGGCGCTACTGTTTCAAGCGGCTGTGTTTTGGTCAAAAGAACTCGGTGTGAGTTAAGGGCTTGACATGGAACTTGGATGGAGTGACGGAGAAGGGTCTCGACGTCCAAAAACAAAAACATAAACTTAGAATTTGAATTTGGTTTTTCAAAATCCGGGGAGATTTAGGCGAATCTTAGCCAAATATAAGTTTGGCGACAATTGCAGGTCGTCGAGGATGGCAACCGTAGTCACTGGGCATGGCTGTAGGCCATGCGTGTGACGTTGGGATGGGCATCAAGGTATTTTTTGGTTGAGTTCCAGAAGCTGTGAGCTTCGGGCTTTGGTTGTGGGCTCGGGTTAAGGTTCGAAGAACCTAGATTACGTTTGCAAATTATTTTTTTCTTTTTTTTTTCAATTAATTCAAGGCATATATGATATATAATTTAATGCATGAGCATTTATTTGATGCAATTCATGACAATATCAAATTCACATAATTCAACAATTATGAATATAATGCATACACAATTTATGTAGAATCTAAAATTTGAAAAACGTAAAGTTGGGTCATGCATTATGGTGAATGTTCATGCTATCAGGACTGCAAAAATATCGAGATAAAAATTGTTGTTTTGGAAGAATCTGATTGCGTGATGATATGGATGAACTAGTTTGATGCAGAAAGCTTCCACGTCAGATTCCTAAGCGCAGTGGTAGGAGCGTGCTGATAACGTGTTGTAGCCTATTTTATCTGACAATGGGAAGGGGGCCAGTGGTAGAGAGAAAAAAAGAGATATGTGTTTGTAGAATTGTGTAGAGGAATGTGTGTGTTATTCCCCCCTATGTAGTGCCTTTATTTATAGTACTAAGAAAGAGAAGAAATCCTTCATCCCCAAGGAATACAAGTCCATATAGGAAAGAATAACTAGAATCAAATTTAATCTAGGATTTACACAATCACAATTAAACTAGAAAGTTTATAACACAATAAAATATATTCTAATTTTAAATAAGCCAGTGAAGCTTCTTGTTGATGCACAAAATCAGTGAGAACTTTGTATAACAGAAAGTGTTAAGTTTGTGACCTTCGCTAGATTGCTCCTGTCACTAGTGTGGATAAGTATGTAAATGGATAGGGACAGGGAAACAAACACAAGATAAACGTGGTTCACCCAGATTGGCTACGTCCACGGAGTAGAAGAGTTCTCATTAATTGTGAAGGGTTTACACAAGTACATAGGTTCAAGGTCTCATTTAGTGAGTACTAGTAAATGATTGAGTACAAATGACATTAGGAAATATTGTGAGAGAATGATCTATATTTATAGAAGAGAGTTTCTAGTTTCATTCTGACATTGACACGTGTCGTGTTGTGATTAGCTTCTGATGTTGACACGTGTCGTGCTATGATTGGCTTCTGATGTTGACACGTGTTGCGCTGTGATTGGCCTCCTGGTTGGAGGGAAACTCTTTTGGGTCCTTGACGGTAGAACGTTGACCGGTGCTCAGTAGTTTTAGGATTGGTCAAGTATGGTACAAACACTTCTGATACACTATAGTCTATAAGACATCAAACAAACAATATTTACTAATTCATGCATAACAGCTGGCAACTTTCAAGTTCTTTTATTTCTTATTAGGTAAGTCTCATGCATCACTCCCACGTCTCATATGTTTCATACCTTGTGCGACTTTGTGGATTTAGACAATGCATTGCAATGTCTATTTTCTGTTTTGTTTTCTACATTTAGATCTTGGTGTTGCGTTGCAATGTCCGTTTAGGTCAATCCCACACATCACTCACACATCTCTAAACTTCATTCATCACGCGACTCTATGGATTCAGAAACTGCAACAATGTCTATTTCTTGATTTTATTTTTTTTTTACATTTAGATTTAGATGCTACATTGTAGTGTTCATTTCTGGTTTACCCTCTACTTTTAGGTTTAGACTCACTGTAGTCTCTGAATTTGGTTCTGCTTTTACATTGGGTTCAGACTTTACAATGCAGTGTCTGTTTATGGTTTTGCTTTTACATTTGGATTCAGACCTTTTAATGCAATGCAGTGTCTGTTTCTATGTTTGATTTTACATTAAGATCATACTCTGCAATGCAGTTTCCATTTTTTTAGTTATGTTTGTTTATGAATTGTCTTCAAGTTTCCTAGAGATGCAAGCATTGCCTTCCACCAATCCAAACACAAATTCAAATACAAAATTAAATAACAAAAATGGTAGAAAATTCGAAGCACGAATTTCGCAGATTTGAACCATAGCTCCATTTCATCCTTAAGCTCATTCCATGACGTCTTCTAAGCCTCATCAATACTCAAGTTAAACTTTTACGACCTTAATCCTGACAAGCTTTCTTCTAGAAACTCTCTTCGGTTGTTGATGTGTGACTACTCCTTCCCAAAACTCGTTGCTACCATCCGCTTCACGTTCTCGTGGAGGTCGTTGATGGTTCAGGAGAAATTATGTCAATCATGATGTCATAGTCACTGATCGACTGAGCCGTTGGGAGCTAGTGCTACTCGCCATTATCAATGACCTTTTCTTCTTCATAGGAGAGAAATATGGGAGAGAGGGGATGAGAGAAGGACATCATAGAGTGAAGAGATAGAAGGAGAAAGAGAGACACAAGAGAAAGTCAAGAGAAGGGAGTAGATAAGGAAAAAGAGAAGGAGGAGAGAAGGAACACTATAAATTGAAGTGAGAGAATGGTTGAATAGTTATTTTCTAATTAGTCTAAACCTATGTGACATGCTTCATTGACCAATGTCTAATTATTATAAATATTTTATTGATTATGTCCAAAACAAATGATGACCATTAATATATGGCTAATTAGTAAAGAATCTATTGACCTTTGACTAAATAAATTATTAACTAAACAAGCTACATGCATGTCCCACAAAATATTTCGCAATTGCTGGATCATATATATAGGCAAAGCCTTTAAGTGGAGTGATCTTTATTTTTTCCAAAAAGATGGGGATTAGTTGTAAAACTCACACTACATCGAAATTCAACTATTATAATTGTCTATTTTTCAAGTTACACCTCATGAATTATCCTTACAAAATATTAGCTAAATTGGAAATATTTGGGGCAATTAAATTGAGTCTTAAAAATTTGATGAATACTATGTTTTAAGCATGGTCTAAATATTCATAATATCCCGATATTTCCATCGAAATTTCCGTGTTTTTTGAACTACCGATATTTCCGATATCATCGATATTTTAGACCTTGCTAAGTCACTCATGTATCTTACCATGCAATGTATAAAGTGTAAAATATTGTACTAATTCATTATATATAAATGATTATGGTGTGTTTAAACTTCTTTCATTAAGTACTACATATTTTCTACACTCACAATGTTTGCCAACTCGCTACATAATCAACTTAAATCAGTTATATCTATCATGAAATGCATTTCCTTCCAATTTTTTTGTGATAAACTAATAGATAATTGACTAAATAAACATCCTGCAAAGTTTCAATAAAAATTTCCAAGTTTTTCTTACAATTTCCGTGGTTTTTATTCAATTTTTATCGATATCGATAATATCCCGATATTTCCATCAAAATTTCCGTGTTTTTAGACTACCGATATTTCCGATATCATCGATATTTTATACCTTGGTTTTAAGAAACATTGAAATTTTATCGTGACAATTAAATAGGCACAAATGGTTTTGGATTGAATTGAATTTTTGCAAAGATAGTCTATGAATCCAGACTTACAAAATAAACGATTTAGATCATTGAAGTTTGATCTGGAGTGGGTTGCACAATTAATCCCTACTTTTTTTTTTCAAAAAATGGGGATCCCTTCTCTTAAAGGACATTATATATAGATGACCTCAATTGGTTATCATCATGTACATGTGTTCTTCTCCTCTTTTTTTTCTTTTTTTTTTTTTTTAACAAACAATATTATCCATACTAAGGGGTGGGGGAGTGAGCTAAGTCTCATAATGAGCTAGCAATAATGTGGTTCAAATTCGTTTTTGGCAAGAATCGAACCTAAACCGCTCACTTCCAAGTAAAGAGGAACACCACTAGACCGTAGTACTAAATGACAATATAAATGTTTAAACAAAGACGTATTATAGCAAAGCAATTAGCTAACCCTACATGTGGCATCCAATAGCTTGCAACACAATGTGAATGAGCGAGCATGTCTAATGTTTGAGTTTTTTGTGGGACTTGGCTTCCATTCCATAAGAAACCAAGCAAACCACGATGCATTGATGAACTACATAAATAGTAGTAATTATATTCCATATTATAGCGTTGTCGATCTGTGTATCGATCGATCATTGAGTAATATATGCCTATGCTTCTTATAATGCGTAGGCATTTATTTAGGATAGGATTAGCCACTAAACATAGATGTTAATTAGTATTTGTTTTCCTTTTGTGTATCAGTTTTTCAAGAAGATGATATAGAGAAGACAATCAGTCCGACAGATATTGATAGGAAGCGGCGATGATGAAGAACAACATATTTCCCACTTGCTAAGCTTCAACGCATAGTTTGCTGGTGTTTGTATATGAAGGTATATGAACAAGAACATCATATATCTAAATGGAAAACGATTTGTCAAATTCAGAAAGCTTCTTCTTTTCATCATCTTTCTTCTTGGTGTGTAACGATTTGCTTAGAATGCACAATTTATAACAAATTCCACAAAACATGTTTTAAGCATGTATACTTTTTCTGACTACAAACCGCCCCATAAAATACTTCCAGTATCCAGATAACAAAATTGTGTATAGGAATGTTTCAAAGTTGTAATACCAAATGAAAAGATGAAAAATGTGAATTTTGACACCAACAACTTAACTCCTTAATATGCCAAGTTCGAACTAAAGGGAATTTATAGATTTCGTTCATGTATTCATCTACGAAGGTCAAAATTTACAGGGATAGTGATTGTATTATGCCGAAACTATTTCTATGTTAGTGAGTCTGACTTACATGCGATTTTACGTTTCATCTACTTGCAAGACTGGGCCGCTTTTTCTGGAGTGCCATTGACATGTCACGCAGCCTATGTGTTATCTCTGTGAATGATGGACGATCAGCAGGATCCGGCGACCAGCACTGTTCCATTAGTTTTTTCCATTCAGAATCACAGCGCTTTGGAATAGAAGGCCTCAGTGTGTTATTTACAATTCCCCCTTCAATGGAAGTTGATGAAAATAGAAATTCAGTAATTCAGATAAAACAATAACAAATCAAGTTTCAAAGTGGAAGGTAACAGTTTATGCAGGGATGCTGAAATCATACGTTTTTCATACTACATTTAGGCAGAATGAAGTTTCTCAACGCGTTTAAGAATAAATTTAGATAAAACCACTCTTTAAGCAATATGCTAGAAAACTTACCTATGATAGCACCACAGTGCATGTTAGCGTACGGTTCCTCCCCAGTCAGGATCTCCCACATTACAATACCAAATGAGAAGACATCAACCTGTCAAAGAATGGACACCCACATGATCAAGTTAAAATTTTTAGGCATGATTTGCTCAGCCCCATTCATAAAAATGATATTCCAAGTTCCTAACCTTCTCAGAGACCCGGTTACTGCTACCATTTAATAGTTCTGGTGCCATCCACGGAAGGGTTCCTCGAACACCACCAGATACTAGTGTGTTGCGCTTAATTCTTGACAAACCAAAATCCCCAACCTGCAAAGCATCATATAACCACCAAGGAGAACTGTATAGTACCTTCCATGTACAAAGAGGCATTCTTGCCTGGTGAATAAAAGGACTATTTTTAAAAGAACTACTTTTTAATTGAAAAACATAGCGAAACTAGTAATTATGTCTGAATCCGTTGTCAAAAATAAAAAATAAAAAGGTAAAAAATACAGAAGACAAGAAGGGTATGCTAAATTTTTTATTGAACAAATTACCTTGCATATGGGCCGTTCGGGATCCCTCAAATTAACTAGTAAATTGTCACACTTCAAATCAAAGTGAACAATATTTTTCAAATGCAAATACTCCATGCCAAAAGCTGTGTCCATTAAGATTATGAGCCTCTTTTGACGATCAAGCACTCTGCATGAAGAATCTGAAGACTGCATAAATCTTTTTCATGTCAGAGGATATATTGATCAAAACAAAGATGGATCAACTAACCTATCTTTTCTTATTAGGACATGCCTCAACGATCCATTCACCATGAATTCAGCTACAGTTGCTAACGTCCCCCCAGGCCCATCAGGCACCACGCCATAGAATGCTACAACATTGGGATGGTGAAGGGTTGACAGAATCTTTGCCTCTCTCCAGAAGTCCTTAGTCTGTCAAAACAAGGGATGTTTGCGTTTTCATTGTGAAAATATTCAAAATGTTGGATCTACGTTTAACCCCAAGATATTTTGTATGTATATCTCGAGGCATTGGGAAGCTGTAACATAAATTTAGTATATAATTGAATTGTTTTCTTAAGTTTTTGGTTGTGAATAGCCTGCACATTATGATATAATTTACAGTACAAATGATCCCAATATGCACTGTAATTAGATATGAAATTCCGAAATTTGAAAACTAACCAGTCGATCTTGCTCTGATGATCTGCCGGAGAAACAACTCTTTTTTATCCTCTTAATTGCAACATCTGTTCCTCTCCACTTTCCATGATAGACAGTTCCATATGTACCAGATCCTAACTCTTGCAGTTCTTCGAGATCATCATTCTTTATGATCTGTGTATAGGGTAAATGATTTTACATTAAAGATAGTATAAGAGAGTTGCGCGAAAAACAAAATTGCATGGTAGAGAAACAAACTAAGCATTCATAATATGTAGAGAAGAGAGAATTAACATCCGATCATGAATATATCAATCAAGATAGTAGTTCTCAACCTGCAAACCATAGATGCCTGCTTCCATTTCAGCTATTGCAACATCGCTAATAGTGTCATGCCTATGACTTCCGTCAGCTGTCACAGCCTATAAAATAGAAAATAGGACTTCAAGTTTACCATCGAAAAGTTCCATAAAATCATTGCTCAAATTTTAATAGGGAGCTTACCTTGTTATCAGATGCTGTAGCTGAACTTCCAGTCTCTGTTTCTCCAGTTGATGAACAATCATCACTGGCCTCATCTTCTATATGCGAAACATTATAGACCACTTTGGAGGCAGGGATACCGGGTGGTGTATTATTAGTCAAGTCTTCTACAATAATCATCGAGTCCGTCACCTTGTTGTCATGCCGATTATCCAGTGGCTGTGATTGGGCAGGGATAGCACCTTCACAGTTGGTTACTTCAGAAGACTGTTTGTTGAGACATATGTTTTCAACCAAATACTCAGGATAATTTCTTGACTCCTTATCATGGAGAGAAAATTCTCTGTCTGGTGCAGCAGTTGTAGCCAATTTCTGAACAGGTTCCAACAGTTGAAATAAAAATATCAGGAGACTTGAGGCAGAGATTCAAAGCAATAAATAAATAAACTCAAAGGGCTGAGTACTTACAGATGTTGAGACTAAGAACTCCTGAGATGCAACAGGTAGTCGTTCACGTGACTGATGAGAAACTGTTTGACTGCTTACCGTCTCAACTGTAGCACACTGCTGATCTCTAGTACAGTTTTGGTTCCTAAGAGAAAACTGAGAAGTTGTGTCAAATCCATAGCCTTGGGGGCCCGTAGTATCTTCAGAACCTTCAGTTTCAGGGTTTGATGAACCAAAAATCCCACTTTCAGGGAACTGTGAATGTTCCATGGCTAAGCAATCACTGAGAAGGCAGTTTGCATTTTGTTCCTTCTTAAATTCTATGACAATATCATTTGATGTAACTTCAACATTTCCTTCTAAGTGTTTCCATTTTTTATCAGCACCAGTGTCATTCCTGTCCGTCTGGTTCAACATCTCCAGACCTCGTTCCTCTTTACATTGGTCAGGTTTCCTGATCGTGAATTGATTACCATGTTTAGCAATTTGATGTTTCCCATCAAGAATCACTTCCTGTTGCACAGACCGTTCTTGCGAGGACCTTTGTATCTTCAATGAAGGTGATTTTTCTAGTCTGTATTTCAGTGAGGACACTGGGATAACTTCTCCTTCGGTGTACCTCTGAACATGTTCCTGCAACTGAGAGTCAGAAAGTACTGCATGCATTATTCTGTGGTAAGAAGCATCTCTTTCCCCAGACCCTGAAGATAGTCCCTCTCTATCTTCAGGACGAGAGAGAGACTTTTCCGAATGGAGGGCCTTTTCCAGAATCACAAGTCTCTCAGATTCCATACCACTTTTGCCATACCGTGCAGAAGGCACAAAATTTTCGCTAAAACTACGATTGTGGGAGTGCAGAATGTGAGACTTTTTAGCCCTATAAGTTTCAGCCAAATATTGGTTATGATGATGATGATTTAACAATGGAGGCCCGTGATGAAGATTATTGTTATAACCTCCCGCATCAAGATAATAGGTATTGTCACATGGATATTTTTCCATACCATAAGGAGCAATGCCTGCATTACCGTCACAATATGATTGGTCCAAATAAAGCTGCACATTGGAACTCTTGGGATCTCTGTGTTGAAGTGGAACCGGGGATATGGGAGGGGATTGATTAAAAGACTTCTTTGGGATCTGAAGAGTAGCTAAGAACTGAGGAGCAGGTTTAGTTAATGTGCCCACTGCACTTGAGGAACTAGGGCTATAGTCTTTGGTCTCAAAATATGCACCGGTAGGAGAGTCTCTATGAAAGGTTGGACTATAATCTGATGGATTTCCATTCTGGCTGGCCAAACTTTGCTCGCTAGAGCTTTTCTGAGGACTTGGGTCTAACATACCATTAACAGCGAAAACAAATTCGCAGTCAGCACCGATTGGATGTGTTACCCTTGCCTCGACAGAACTTGGGCTCTCTGTTTCAGTTAAAGGTACAAGGAAGAGCCTCAGTCTTTGAGAACCCTCTGTTCTCTCTAGCTCATGATATTCCTCTATCATATGAAGAAGGTCCTCATCGGAACAAACGGATACAAGTGCATCAAGATCCTCACCGGGAAGCTGGTACTTGATAGTGTGATGTTGGTTGCAAATTACAAATGTCTTCTTCATTAGTTGCTCAAAATTGGTGCCTTCGCGAATAGATAAAATCCGTGTATCTCCACCTACATATCGGAGTTTCCCATCATTTGGCCGAGGTAATATTCTTCCCCCAAAGCTGCAGAGAAATTTCCTTTTGAAAGAGAAAGAACCTTCAGCAAATACTTGACCATAAGGAGTGTATGATTGAGGGGAGTCCACAACATAAAAAGGTGGAGTAGTTGGTCTTGGAATAACCCGATCGCGATTAACTTCATCAGCAAACTTACTCGATGCTTTTCCCATGGCACCATATTCCCAGTGGTATCTGCTCATGTTACTAGGATAAACATTTTTCTCCGTGTCCGCTAGAAAACCTTTTGGAGCAACTGGACTAAAATCCGAGAATTCTGAACTGCAATCGGAATCTATTCTCTTCATCCCCATAACGCTACCAAGATCCTCGTAAAGCAGTTTAGGGTTTTGGTGTATATTAGAACCCAACCTTTCAGACTGGCACAGATCAATGCCAGTCAGTACAGGGGCTAATCTTCTTTGTGCAATACGATCCTGCAGAAACTCCATTGAAAATTCCTCACCGGTCTGTAGACAAATATTAGTCACATTTTCGTCCGCAGCATTTCTGTCACTTCGAACATCATTGGTTGTATCTCTGCAAAACTGTCGACCAGAAGTACCAGGAACCTCACCAGTCATGGTCTCAAAAGAAGTTCCACTTCATCTAAAGCTTATCTATGAACACCCTCTCGCCTTTCAGCTTTAAGTCCTTGATGAAAATAATAATTCCAAAATGTTTTTAACCAAACAATGCTCAAAACAAATAAATAAATCTATCTTTAAAATTCATCCCTACGAACACTCTCTGGCCCTCCATGACATACCTTCTAATTCTTCTTTCAGAACAAATGCCAGAGTGAACTTGACATTAAATTCCAAATTGCTGGACTGTGTACAAATTCCTTGACGGGTGATATCCATAATTTCTGTCTTCATAAAAGTCACCATTCAAGAACATCCGAAACCAACAAGATCGCGTATCATCACAAATATTAACCATCATCAGGTTTTCATAATAAAAGTTAGCCTGACAACATGGTGCAATGATTTGCATAGAGCTGATTATCAATGGAGAAACGATTTACAATGATCAAACCAACGCAATATCCGTTTCCTCGCCACATAAACAAATAATTTCACATATTAATATGGTTATTCCGTGTACTTTTGACAAACAACTAGCATACAGCATTGAAGAAAATAAAAATATGAGAGCCAAAGCTGACGAAGGGATATGAAAAATGAAAAACGAACATGAACATGAACATGCAAAAGAAGAAAAGATATAGCAAACTGGGTACATTTGCTGTTGTTAAAATGCGGTGATCAACGTTTGAAATCGAAGCTCAAAGGTTGGTGCAGTGGGATTTCAGCATTTCCGATTAAATCGGAAAGAGGAAAATGGATTTAGGAGCTGGGGTTTTGATGGTTGGTTGAGAGAGAGAGAGAGAGAGAGAGAGAGAGAGAGAATAGAGGGTCGGAGTTGAAGCGACAATAATTACAAAGGATTACGCGGTATTAATACGGCATTAATACAGGGATGGAGGGAAAGGAAAAGGCGAAACTGCTCTCAACTAATTTATGAATGAATTTTCTCCTTTTTTCGTTTTCTTTTTTTTTTATTTTTTTTTTCTTTTCACCTAGCACATTATCCCCAAATGAGAGATGTCAAAAGATGAATAACAAATATTAATTTAAAGGCTTAGAACATCTTCAAATAGGGTAATGCTAAGTAGGCCTAGCAAACAGGTCGTGTTCATGTTGTTTTCGTGTAACACATGTTATCTTAACTTATCGTATCATGTCACACTCATTATCTTAATGGGTTCTTAATAGGCCGGGTCATTTTACCCAACGGGTAAAATAACCCAACTCGTTATGACCCGTTAAGAGAAATATTTTATTTTCTAAATTAGCACATACCACATTGCCACATAAATATTACTTTGAAAACTAATTCAAAACGGAAATTGAAGAAACAAAACCAATATTAAATCGAAAACAAATTCGAAGCAAAACCCTATATTTTGAAAGTAGTTCGAAAGAATCAACTATTACCTCAATTAGGGCTCGAGATTTGCTCAATCCAGAGAGAGAGAATCAGAGACAAACATAGCAGATCGACTGGTGGTAGGTTACTAGGTCGTATGTGGTGACAATGGTGTGGTGGAGGGAGACTAGAGAGGGTGGTCATGGATTCATGGATGGTCAGAGTTGAGGTTCGAGACTAAGATTCAAGAGTTTAGATTGAGAGAGATAGAGATGACGGCTGAGAGAGAAAGTCTGATTTAAGGCTGAGACAAACATTGGATGGCCAAGATTAAATCTTAGCCAATCCAATGGTCATCAATTTTTTAAATTTAATTTTAAAAAAAAAAACACACACACACACACATATATATATATATATTAACTTTCAACTCAGTTCTGGATTAAATCCTACTTCTATTAAGTATAGTTTTTATAGTGGTATAAAATTATTAAATTAATATTTTTCTTATCGTGTAACGGGATACCCACATGTATAATTGGACCAACCCGTCATCTTAACATATGCTTATCGGGTTACCTAATTACGATTCAATTCGTTACCTGTTAATTTCGTGCTGGTTTGTGTCGAGTTAACGGGTCGTGTCAGAAATTGCCAGGCATAATGCTAGGGAGTCAAAATTTGGAAAATAAATTTGCAAATTAAATGATGTGTCACCAATAGCAATGAGCATGTTTATCGACGCTTAAATAATAAACCAATCATTAACTTCCATGTCTTTTAGTTTCCAAAATTTTGTCTACAAATTTAATCTCCCTAGCATTACTCTTTCAAAGAAGATGTAAATTTTAAACATAAATTTTAATTTTCCAGCCTATGTAGCAATTTGACATTTTTAATGGTATGTAAGAAAATAAACAAATATAATGCCCTACTAGGACCATAATAATAAGTACACAAAAGATCAAAAGCATATTGAGTGTCAAAAGTACACAGTTTGTCTATTTGGAATGTGTTTGGACTGTTTTCGACATTCATGGGATAAAACAAGCGTGCGTTTGACACTCTGTTGAAACTTAAGCAAATTAACACATATAATGGCTACTGGGACCATAAGAATGTGTACTCAAAAGATCAAAAGATTATTGGGTGTCAAAAGTACTCAGTTTTTCTATTTTGAGTGTATTTGGACTGTTTTCGGCATTCATGGGATAAAACGAACATGCGATTGACACCCTTTGGAACATAAGAAAATAAACACATAATGCGTTATTAGGACCATAAGAATGAGCACTCAAAAGATCAAAAGCTAATTGGGTGTCAAAAGTACACAATTTTTCTATTTTGAGTGTATTTGGACTGTTTTTAGCATTCATGAGATAAACTGAGCTTGCGTTTGACATCCTTTGGAACTTAAGCAAATAAACACATATAATGCGCTACTACGACCATAAGGAGTACTCAAAGGATCAAAAGCTTTTTTTTAACAATATATTAAACTATTATAAAAATTGTTTTTACAAAAACAATAATAATATGCATTTAATGATCCTTTGAAAGAAGATTTGAAGTTGCAGTCAATCCATGTCATGCCACATCATATTTGGTTTTTTCGTTGGAAAACATTGTTGCTGTGTTTTTTTATTGTCAGTGCTAATTTGTACATATCAATAATAACACTGAAAAAAAAATCCACATCAGCTATAACAATAAAAAAAAAGACAACATTAGTGTTTGCCAACCGAAATGCCAATTCTTGTGTGGCATGACGTGGAATGGCAACAAAGATGGTGGCTATCAAATTTGACAACAGCTTCAGATAAATTTTAATTAAATATTAAACGCTTTTTATTGATTTTTTATTGGTTTAAAGCATTGCCTTTTCATTTCCTTTCATTACCAATGCACTGTTTAAATATTTTTATACATTTTAGTTTGTTTCTTTTATGTTAAAATTTGACATATCAGGTGAAGAGAAAAACTTTAGAGATGTCAAAATGTCAAATGAGCTGTCAAATTTAAATTTTATGTTTAAAATTTGACATCTCCTTTAAAGATGGTCTTATGTGACAATGCCAATTTTTTTTTCTTCACTTATATGTTTTTTGCTACAATAGTAAATGTACGACTTGATTTTAAAAAGAAAAGAATTAAAAGAAATATTCATAATCCATGATTGGTCCCTGGACCCACATAATAAAGAATTAAAAAAATAAAATGAACACTTTTTTTTCTGTCAAATTTGGCAACAGGTAGTCATAACGTCAATTCATGTCAAACTAAAGGTATCGAGTTAGTTTCCAAAAAAATAGGGTATGGAGTTTCATTTCGCCTTCAAGTTCTACTACTTAGTCTACGTGGTGAAATGACTCTTTGATTGGAGATGTTAAATATAGGGGTCGGAAAGGGATCCTGTCCGGATCCCTTCCACCTAATTATCCTTATAATAACTTTAGTTGTTGGATCAAATTTCAAAAGCTCGAATTCTTTGATGAAGAGGATTAGATGAAAGAGATTCGAAGAGAATCCCTTTCTATAGGGGTCCAATTCTATTATTTCACACCAACTTTGTTTAGGTGTTTTTTTTTAAAGGTACGATATTCATTAACAAAAGGAATACGTACAATCAATGAGGATAGGTTTTAAAATTGACTGTTTCACCATTTGAACGAGTGAAATTAACTTAGTCTTTTAAAATTGACATTGTTTATATTTCTTGTTTGAATTCAAAACATAAAAGATTAGAAATTCCATTTGAAAAAACAATAATATGAATTCTCAATTTTAAATTTCATGTCAATGGTTGTTGTGTCTGAATTTTCACGAGTGAAAGTATTAAAAACAAAACAAAAACCATGTATGCCACCATTGCCACCTTCACTGCTACACACCTACCACTATCACCACCGCGATCGTCAACATCATCGTTGTTGCGGGCACCGCCATATCAATGATCACAGTGGTGATAGAGAAAAAAGATCCAACAAGCTAACCAAATTACGCCTTAATTAATCAAGGTACCACAACCACCTCTACTACCACGTCACAAAGCGAGAAACTGGTTTACCAAATTACACCTTAATTAATTAAGGACTTTAAACTTCTTGATTTAGTGAGCTATGAAGAAAGTTGAAGTTCTACCATAAAATCAATTGGCAATATGGGGAGTAGTCCAGCTACTTATAAACACATGCAAGGTCTCTCTTGTCATCAATGTGGGATTCATTCTCAATACGCCCCCTCACGTGTGGTGATTTTTCAAGTCTAACATGTGGACAATACAATTTGGGTGTCGTGAAGCATGTGTGGCCGTTGTGCTTCATATGTACCGATACTATGAAGACACAATGTGACAAGCTGTGCCTAAATCAAGTTTCGATTTAACAAAATCTAGAATTTGAGAGGCAAAGTTGTACCTAACTCAAATTTTGTTTTACTTTGTTTTATCAACATACAAAAATCAAGTTTAAGCACTTCATATCCGTAGGAGTTTATTCTAGAAAAATTATGTTTATGTTGCAATCCTAGTGTATCTAGGGATATCTTGGAATATTATCTAAGTTAGATATTATCCTATTAGAGTTGTAACCTATTAGGGTAAGGATTTAACCTATCTTACTACTATAAATAAAGGCACAATGGGGTGATACAACACACACCTCAGAATTACATCTCTCTTTATCCTTTCTCTTGCCGTCGACCTTCTCCCTCTCTAGTCCTAAATACAGTTTAGTAAATTAGGCATACAACACGTTATCAGCATGCTCTTGCCAAAAGCTAAGGAACTGAAGGATCGTGGAGGAGGCTTTCTTCTACAATATCAAAGGCTCAATTATTTTATGCCAATCATGTTCTTTTAAAATAAATTAAGATATTTGAAACAACCTTGAAACATGAAAACATTCCCCATGATGCATGAACCCCCTATATTTATATTTTGAGTAAATTATAGTAATGGTCGCTTAACTTTAATCAAATTGGAGCAATGGTCCCTTAACTAAAAATCCATTACTATTGGTCCCTCAACTTATCAAAATGTGTAACTATAGTCATTTTCATCAATTTCGTCAAAATTTTGTCAAAATAAGTTATGTTGGAATAACCATTTATATAATTAGGGTCCCTCAACTCATCAAAGTGTGTAATTATGGTCATTTTTGTCAACTACGTCAAAAGTTTTGTCAAAACGAGTTATGTTGGAATGACCATTGCTACAATTGGGTTAAAGTTAAGGGACCATTTCTCCAGTTGAATTACAGTTGAGGGACCATAGCTACACGTTTTGATGAGTTGAGAGACCAATGGTAATGGATTTTTAGTTGA